TTACGTTTTGGTTTACGTTAGTAGGTTTAACGTTACTTACGTAGACGACGACGTACTCTACCGACGGTTAGTCGTACTCACTGTCGCGTTTCGTCTCTCTCTCTCTCTCTCTCTCTCTCTCTCTCTCTCTCTCTCTGCTCACACACACACACACGCAAAACAAAATTAAGTAGTTCTTAGATTCAACAGATGAATCAAACCATCTTCATACATAAATAGATCATTATTCAGTTGAATATTTAACTATTTGTTAAATATTAAACTTTTTCTTTAGAATCAAGCTTGATTTCAAAAAGTTTTTACATGCAGCTACTATATTCGATAAGAATGGCAGTGTTATAACTGTTAATCCTGAAGGCCGGCCTGCAAACCCGTTCGATTTTGGAGCCGGTTTCATGAGACCTGAAAGAGTCCTGAATCCTGGCCTAATCTATGACTCGAGACCAAATGATTTCAAGGACTTTCTCTGTTCTATTGGTTATGATAACAAGTCATTAAGGCTGATTACAGGAGATAATAGTATCTGCACAAAGAGTTCCACAGATTCTACCCTGAATTATCCTTCGATAACAGTTCCTGATCTTAGAGATAATTGTTCAATTACTCGAACGGTTACTAATGTGGGGAAACCCAAGAGTATTTACAGAGCGATGGTTTCGAAGCCAGCTGGAGTTGAAGTGACAGTGGTTCCAAAGCTTCTGACTTTTAAAAGTTTCGGAGAGGAGATTAATTTTACAGTGAATTTTAGAGTGGTTGCTCCCTATAAAGGGTACTCATTTGGCTCTTTGGCATGGAAGAGGGGGAAAGTGAGGGTGACCAGCGCTTTGGTTGTGAGAGTTGGACCTTCGGGTCATGAATCAACAAGCTGAATTTTTCACCATGGCCAGAGGAAGAAATAGGAAAGAGAGAAAAGAAAGTTGATGTTCATATACAGATATACGGTGGGGTACTGGATTTATTCTGTTTGACCTTCACAAACTCATAGTGGAAGGGAAATTGTTGGGGAACTCTGAGAATCCTCAAAGTTCTCATGTACAATAATTAATGTTTTAAAGGCATTGGCATATCTTATATTCCATTTATCATTGATTAACAATTCAAAGATCCCCCTCGCGGTCTGGACTGGTAGATTTCAAAAGAAAGCTGTCTTTGCAAGTTTAAGCTTAGGGCTCATTCTAAGAAGGTCGCGATTGGAAATGGAAGTTTCTTTTTAAGATTTTCTTCACTCTTCCTCTCCATTTCTATTTTCTGATAACATCTGAAAGGTTTGAAAAGAATGAACTGTCATAGGAGGTGGAAGAAGCGGCTCGCACAATAGGTCTATAGAAAACTTGTGGTTAAGACTAGAAGTTGATCACCTTTTTCATTAAGAACCTAAGCCCGTGCCAGTTTTCTTTCGGAAGATTGGACTGACGTGTTGCAGTATCTGCTGGTCCAACCCTCTGGCTTCACATGTGCATTAAAATAAGGGTACAGTTGGCATGCAGATGCATCCGTAAGTGTAGAGGTAAGGTGCACCTTCTAATTTTATCATGATATATAATTTTGATGTAAAATGTTCTTAAGATTATCTCAAAATCTATTTTTATATCTAATTATAAAATTTTAAAATTAAAAAATGGTTAAAATCAAGTAGAACATATGAAAATCTTGAAATTAAACAGTATAGATAATATGTTGTAAAATGCACAAATTTTTAGACATAAAATCTTTTTATTTTTTATGATTACATATCTCGAGATGATCAATCAACATTAAAACTACCTTTTTCGATAAATTTTTGAGGTGCATCCGTAGTACTGCATTATAAGGTTGCATCCTTATATAAACTTTTTCCTTAAAAGAATAAGGGGGAGAGAGAGAATCAAATATATAAGATCAACTATATCGAAGTAGCTTTTGCATCATTTCGTGAATTCAAATGTACTTTGATTGCCTTGAAAGGATCAGGCACCGTAGACACATTACAAGTAACTGATTTACAAAAGAAACTATATATATACAAAATCTTAAAACATACTCCCATCGCCTTCCCAGTTCTACAATACAAAATCTTAAACATACTCCCATCGCCTTCCCAGTTCTACAAACTCAGCCATCAGAAGCATAGGGCCCTGAAAGATTTCAGAGACAAAAAAACACTGCTAGGGAAAATCAGCCTCACAAACTTTACAACCATCAAGAGATGAGTAGAAATCCTTCATCTCTCAAAAAACTCTCGATGATTTGAGTTCGGAAGGATCGATGAGACCCTCCAAGACAACCAGCTGATCCAATAGTGCCAGCTTCTCATCCTCCAAATTCTTCACCTCTTCCTCAACCTCCCTCAATTCTTCACCCAGAGAACAGCTTTGTTCTTCTAATAACAAATATTTCCTCCTCAGAGCTCGATACTCACTTCCAGGTCCTGAAGAAGAATCGGGGAGTGAATCAGAGTTTGATCTATCAGTGGGCTGCTGCAACACTGGGGAGGCTTCCTTCACTTGGGTCTTTTTAGTAACCTTTTGTGATTTCAAAGGTGGAGGAAGCATCTCTGGCCCCATTTTTGTGTCATCTGAGAGCAGAAATGGAGAGGCAATTTGGGTTGTCAATTTCTTCTTTCGCTGCTTATGTCTCGAGGGGTCCATTACTGGAGAAATGCCTGTATCTTGCATTCTCGAGCTCCTACCAGGACTCTGCCTGCGAAAATGCAATCAGACTTTAATTTCTTGCTAATTTCAGGAGTATGTGGGAAACAATAAAAAAGAATGGCAAACCAAGTCTCAGTTTAGTATTAATAGTGGATGAAAATATGAAAACAGGCTCCAGGCAGATGTGATCTGGTTGGCAGGTGCCACAATGTGGCATCTAGAGTTCCATTCTCACCAGGTCCCAAGTTATCATCCAAAAAGGAGAGAAAAAAAAAATAGGAAGAAAATGCACGCACACACACACGCACACAACAGAGAGAGAATGGGTTGCCACTCGTCATTTTCCAGTAGAGTCATAACTATGGAATCTCAACTAGATGTATCACAAAAAACTACTACAAAAGTGGAACCAATATTGGAAAAAACGATGGGCATCATCTAGGCAGACAGGGGGCCATGAGGTCTCCACCTAGGCGCTTGGGTTTTGAGGTCTATAGGTGGTCGCGTAGGCACTAGGTGAACCTTTTTTCAGAATGCCAAGTGTAACTACCTGTTAAAAGCCTCACACATTGTTGTCCATGGAATCCATCAATGGTAGGTGATTTCAAGCAACAGACAATATATAAGATTTTCTGGTATAACTTGGATGCTCATATGATAACAGAGGACTCATTCACAAATAATAGCAAGACAAGCACAAGGCGGATCCTGAGGTACTAAATGCATTAGCACAAAATTTACCATTCACCATAAACATTTGGAGACAAGTTTTCTTATCTTTTTTTTTTTTCCTCCAATCCTTTTAAATGTTTGGAGACTAAACAATAAAATCAAGAACTGGAAAAGAAGCACAAACCTTCCATGGTGAAAATGGTTTTAAGTCATGGGCCTCAAAGATATACATAAGATCATACAGAAAATTTTAGCACAGTTCGAGAACTCACCCTGGCATTTATCCATATGAAGAGAGAGAGAGAGAGAGAGAGAGAGAGAGAGAGAGAGAGAGAGAGAGAGAGAGAGAGAGAGAGAGAGAGAGTAGTACGTACGTACGTACGTACGTACGTACGTACGTACGTAACGTAACGTAACGTAACGTAACGTAACGTAACGTAACGTAACGTTAACGTAACGT